GCGAGCGGCGGGGGCGCGGGCGAGGAGGGCGGCGGCCGCGGCAGCCGCCGCGGTGGCAGCAGCGGCTGCCCGTCAGTCAGGAAATGGAATGATGGAGCAGACGGAGGACAGCAGTCACGAAGAGTCATCGGAGGGAGAAGATGATGACGATGAAGACTGGCGCTGAGAGTCAGAATAACAGATGATAAACCAATGAGATTTAACATTGTGTAGACACAGGGTCAACGACAGAAGCAGCACAAGAGACAATTTTCATCTCTGCTCACTTCCCCACCAGCTTCACCCTCGCTGTTTTACACTTACTTCAGCTTTATACCAGGCACTCACACTCCAAATTTGTTATATTTTTTATATTTTAAAATATTCAGAGACAAGTTGACTAACGTTGCCTTTTTATAGCCTTTATTTAATTGAATATGTCAAAGTCTTGGACTTTCTCTTCGAGCAATAAAACGGCAAAGATCAAAGCAATCTTAAACTATATGGACAGGGCCCTTTTTTAAATAAAGAGTTTATATTTAAAATCATTTGTTTGGGGGATATACTGTACTGAACCTTTTTAGATTTACCATCCAGACGTTTGAGGTTGGTTGTACACATCATTTTTACCGCTAAGGGACCTTTATGGAATGAATATGTACAAAAAATTATATATATATAAGATTGACATATATTTATGATACAATGTTTTCAATGATTTTGATAATATAAAAGAAAGCCATCACAATAATGTCAGCTGCAATATGTCCTCTCAAATGAAATGTTTATTAAATGTTTAAATTTGTGCTTGACGTTTTTATACTTCTTTTTATGTTGGGGATATAATTAATTGTAATAAATACTTCAGCCAGCAGAGAGCGGTAAAGAGTCGCATTTTAAGAAAAAGTACCGGAGTCAAACTTGGAAAACTTGGATTACTATAAAGAAAGGTAGTTTTTCTTCGTATTTACCCAGTGCTTTCATACTTACAAACACACACAATACATTTCTGACATATATTTCTAATACAGAATATCTGAATCACTACCAAGACTGGAATTGAAGTCATAAATATCAAGGGAAAAATACTTACAAGAATCCTATCGAGGAACAGACTAACTTGCTTCAGACCAAGACTCCAGAGGTCAGAGGTCAGAGGTCAGATCTGATAAGAGACAACCTGGAGAAAGATGACAGAGGCTTCCAGTGTGGGTTGTCCTTTTGTCTTCTGAAATGACATCGACCATCAGGATTAATGACTCTGGTCAAGAACAAATATACTGTATGTAGTAATCTAGTAAGCTCAGTATTTTTTAAAAGTAATGCTGTCAAATATGTCTTCATTTGTGTAAAAACACCAGAAATACTTAAAAATAAAAATCTTAACAGGCTAATATTTTTTTCTGAAGCGCAACTGAGATAGGTTTCCAATTGCTAACGGATGAAACCAAGATCCACTTGACTCATGTTGAGCCTTCTAGAACAGGACAACCTGTGATAGTATGTTGCTCTGATTGAAAATGCAGATTCAGTTTCTAAGGAGCTGTCATTTTCAGATGAAGAGCCGCAGAGACAGCTCACCTTCACACGTATGGTGAACTTTGCCAGCGATACATGATGACATAACTCAACCGGTGGTTCTCGGTGTAACCAGTAGCACAGCTTGTTGCCCTCAGGAGATGAGATGAGAGGCGTAAATTCCCTCAAGATCACTGACAGCAACAGTGGCCCCGTCTCTGCCTCCCTATCACCGTTAACAGGTTGGCCCCTGACAGCTCTCGATTACTCTCCTGCTGCTGCTGCTGCTGCTGCTGGAGGAGAGGGATTCAGCACATAACATGTTAATGAGTAAAAAAACACAATAGCATTCCAGGAAGATGTAAAGATCGAGATGCTGAGATTATGTTACTTTAGCCTGATATTATGATCGGCTGAAACGCCCTTACAGCTAATATTAAAACCCCCCAAATAGACAAGAGCATTCCCTTAAAAATACAACAAACTAGCCAAAATATATAAAATCGCTGGAGCATAGCTAAAAACAAAAAATCCTCCAAATAGATATTAATAACAAACAGCCCTTTCACTTTGAACTTTTGCTAAAGGTTAGCTCAAAGATTGGCCCTTGAAGCTATGTCAAAGAGACTAAACAGTTAAAAAATAAATTGAATCTTCACCCTGTTGGCTGGCCATTAAAAATTAATTGTATTAATCAAGTTGCAGGTCACAAAAAACACATCAAAGTGCCAGGACTGGCCCCTGGGCCAGACTTTGGACATAATTGTGAATTTAATGGCACTGTGAGGCTTAATTTAGTCACCACCGCGCTAACAGGACAACATTTAACTGAGGCAGTTTTTTTGTAATCATAAATAACTGAAGTTAAAACATTACGAAGGTAAAACATGCCTAAACCTAAAAACCCCTCGGCTGCTGAGTAACTAAGAATCTGCTTTTCTGAAAATGACATGAATCAAAGCAAATCAACTTCAGTGGTTTATGTCCTGTCACATAAACTGGCAACTCTGAAAAGTTCACAGATATATGGTTGTGCGTTTAGAAATATGGCCGCTCCTTATCGACTCTCTGTCCACATCATGGATCTGGAAATTATTAAAGTGGACAGTGCAGCGTGCTGTCCTCAGAGAAGGCTCTGGTTTTACTCTGGGGAGTGTGACAGAGCATTTGAGGTTTACAGTTAGGATCACATATCCTCCCTGAGCACTGAGGCCTGGTAATGAGACCCCATTAGAAAAAGGCAGCTACAGGGGCACAGTAAAACAGGTTAGAGATAGAGCAGAAAATGAAGCCATTACAGCAGGAGACCAGGGCAGAGTGACTGAGACAAAGACAGAACAGTGGATCAATGTCACTAAATGTCAGGGAGAAGGATGACGAGATCGATGGACACCATCAGCAGAGCCCAGCTTTAATCTGATGCACGTACATTGAGATTATTTATGTGGAGGTGCTGGGACATGACGGCTGTGACCTGTGGAGACTCAGGTCAGTGTCACTCCATCACCTTTATATAAGGAAACAGATTTACATTGACACCCGTGAGCAATGCAACTCTGAGAGAGAGAGAAACAGGGACGATTACGGTCACATTCTCATGTGAATTCAGTGTTTGGGAGGCAGAGAAAAAAAAATTGGACTCAACTTTGTTTGTCATCTGTCATCTTTGAGGTGCATTCACAGCAGGTCACAGGCCTGTAGAGGCTGGGAGTTGAACTGGTAGCCATATGGTCAAAGGACAATTCTGCTACCACTAGACAACAGGCTGTGGGTTTGACACGTTTGGTCAAGGCTGCAGGAGAGATTTGTTAAATACATATATATATAAATATATATATGTAACAGAATATAAAGCTTGTTTCTTCAACAATGTAAAAAAGAACACCGTTTTCTTCTCCTCTCCTTGCAGAGACAGCAGTGAAGGATGCAGTGGGATGTATCCGTGAGTCCTGATTAACATCCTGCCGACTAACATCCCTGCAGCTGCTGACTTGAAAGCCTCAGAGTTAAGTAAGAATGAAATAAGGACGCTCTCCTCCCTCTGCTGCCCGTGCAGCTCGTTATCCCCGCAGCGTTGCTTACATCACAGCCGTCCTTGACGTTGCACCACAATCACTTCATGTAACGACTATGACGGCCATATAACTGACAGTCCACTCAGCCTCAATCTCGCCACGTCCTGTCAATGGCCTTGAGGGGCGTCATCCACCCGGTCGACCTCCTCGACCCGGGACTCCTCCGGCCTTGATTGGTGATGTCAGGCTTATCCACAGCTCCGCTGTGGTTTACAGTCATTCAGGTTTAACGCTGCTGTGGACATAAAAAAAGAAGGAGCTGTGTCGTAGATCAGCAGATACTCTATCCTCTCTTAATGGAATTAAAGTCATCCGTTAGGGTTTCGGGCTGCAGTCAGCAGCAATCGCCTCCAACCGTTATGCAAATTGAACGTCCGTTCATCAGTGTGGGTTCTATCTCTGGTGTAGAGACGGTGTCTGACACAGACATGTCCTACAAAAAGCACACATTTCAAGTATTTTTGTTTAATAAAACTACTATATAAATAAACCATTTAATGAATGAACAAAAAAAAATGGAGGGCTTTCAGGCCGGGAATTTGAATTCCATTTCTCAATACTGTATTTCCCCGTTATCTTGAAGAATTTTTTACTTCAATAACTGAGTCTTGAATTAGCCCCTCCCCTGTTTTCCAGACCACCACCACTGAAGAAGCTCCTCTTTACTCTACATTTTCTTTACATTTTTGCCCATTAGCTAACAGTAAACCAATGCACAGACCAAGGTAGAAGAATAAGGTGAACTTTGACCACAGCATGTCGCTTTAGTATAAAGAACATTTAATCTGACGTTCTGGCCTCATGTGTTGCAGCCTCCACATGTATGTTTGTATAAAGACGACAAGGAAATTTAACTTTAATGTAGCACAAACAGGCGTCTAGAGCAGCAGCTGGTTCACAGAGTTTGGAGCTGCGTGCTCTGTTTCTCCTCCGTCCTTAACTTATTGTTTACTGAAGGAGGACATTTCCTCTTGTTATGACTCTGCAGGATATGCAGCGTAGGACGCCACCTCTGCTGAAATGTGAAATTAACCATGGAGGAGGAGGAGGAGGAGGAAGAGGAGGAGGTGGCTGCAGCCCTGCCAAATACACTCCCTTCTCTCTAAGTGCTCCCAATTCAGTCACTTCCTGAAGCCTGTCTAAGGTTCTCCCCACGGGAGAAGAAGAGTTGTTGGTGCAACTCCACCAAGGCATCGTTTTAACAAATGCAACAACAAAGCAGAAACTCTGCTGCTTTAAAATGCACAGAGAGAAACCTTTCTCCAAACAAACGCTGCAGCCATCGGGGGTTTGGCGCCATCTACTTCCTGCTCCACTGCTTTGGACTAATCTTAAAAAATTAATTGGTATTAATGAGCACAGTAATAATGAGTTTGTGACGTGCGTTTTTATGTATTTGGCAGATTGAGAAGAAATCATAAAAGTCACCTCCACTCAGTTACCAGAGTCATTATCATCGCAGTTTTAATTAAATTTATATTCAATAAAATTAGTCAGACCTGTGTGTTCAGCACTTTTGAAGTTAAAAATGTTTCCTAAACTTCATAGAGCCATTGTCCCCTGGGGGAGGGTCGGGGGGGCAGAGGGTGTCACTTAACACTTTCTTCTGATAAACGTGTTCCTTGTCATGTATTCATTTTCTGGCCTAAACTTTGATAGTTTTGATTTTTTTGATATCAGCTAATTTATAATATTTTTCTATAAATGACCCTGATACATCTGTGAATTTAACTTTAAGACAAAGCTTTTCTTTCCGCCTTTCAGTTCCTGCTGTTATGACTGGGTTTGTATTGTCACACTGTCAGAATGGCACTGAGTTATAATGGTTAACGAGCCCCATCTTCATTAACAAAACATCTGCAGCAGAATCTGTTCACCATTCATTTCAGAATCTGCAGATTCTGTTTGGACATTAAAAGGCATTCATTCTTGGCAAACGCAGCCTGCGCTATAAAAGTGTTGATTTAGCTTTTTAGTTTTTCTGGGGTTTTCCTCTCCATTACACTCCCGCCTGCTGCACGTAAATTAGGTTATAATGTGCATTTAAATAAGACGACGGTTAGAGCAAAGTTTTCAGTCACAGCCATTAAAGAATATTCCACGTTCCCGGGTGATAAACAACACAGAACGCTGATGTGCATTAACCACGTGAGCGTGGCACAAGGATGCTTACGTCAGGGTGCTTCACTCCAGCCTCCTGAGCTGACACTTCAGCTTGGCCGGTGTTCCGTTCAGGTTCTGGTTGTGATCCAGCCCCACATGCTGATGGATACTGAATCAGTCATCCATCACAAAGTCATCAACATTCAGCCTTCTCGACTCAGAAGAACAGGTGATGTAGTAGCTCCCGTGCTCTGATTTATTGGAGTGATTCACTGCGGGCTGTGTTGCTCCTGTGTGCACCTCCACTGTTGACAAAGACATCAGAGAAACAGATCGACAGAGATAGGGAGGGAGAGAGAGAGAGACAGTCGTCATCAGGCGAGAGGTGAACAGGAATTTGTCTTCTGATTTGTTGTAATCTAGATTTCTTCACCATTATGGTCTTGTGATTGATTCAGGCAAACAGCCAAGGATCCATTAGTGAACACAGCGCTCTGAGAGCTGATGTAGGACCAGTGCTGTTTCCCTCAGGGGGTTTCCCTCAATTTGCCTCTGATACATTTACCATTGTTCATTACATACAGCTGAGGACAAACTTATAAGCTCCACTGGTGTTAATAGTCTGAGGTTTGGCTATTTACTGGATAACAGACTGCAGTCATTGGGGTTTTTTTTTCAGGCCTGTCTCTTCAGGAATCTCAGCACATTTATTCTTTGTGTTGCAGGAATCTCAGCACATTTATTCTTTGTCCAATCTCTATGGTTCTTCCAGCTTTAATTCTCTCCTAGAATGGAGTGAGTGAGTGTGTGTTTTTCTTTATAAATATAATCTTAGTTACCGTAGCCTCCTGGAGGGGCAGCTCTCACCAGATCCAATCCATATTTTGGGATTTTGGCAATAAATTTCTTCTCACGTTCTTTCGGGGTTTTTTTTCTTACAGCTTTATGAGTTGCAGTTTTCGATGCAGTGACGTGTCTCCTGGAGAAGGAAAGACAGCATGATATCAACCAGCGTCTGATTTCACCTTCACATTACATCCAGTCAATACCATCATTTCCCTCTGGTGGCTGTTCTAAATTAGACTGATTATCTCCTAATGACTGCACACAGGGCTGTTATTCCGGCCTCCGCCTGGTGGCCACATTTTGCACCATGTGTGTTATTTGACAAGTCGATTGCTCTGTCCAAGTGTTCCGTGGCTGTTTACACATTCTGGTAAATACAACGTCTCTGTCCATTGCGCAGCCAGACTTCTGTTTAGCTGCTCCTGCGCTTATTTAAAAATCGAACTGACAAATGTGATAACATCCCCGTCCGTGCCGCACTTCGTCTCTGCAGAGACAAAGGGCTGCTGTGTGGGTTTTGTAAACATGTTGTGTAATATGTGGGTCAGGGCTCGACAGTAAAGCTGTTCTGGTCTATATCCGAACCCCTCAATTAGTTGTCTCTTCCTCCTGATTATCCTAATTATTCATTATCATCACAGTCATCACTTTGCCGACGGTCGGCACAATATTATTGTCAGTCAGCAAACCAGATAATCAATCCAGGATGACAATGCTATAAAAAAATAATCAATCCAGGATGACAATGCTATATTTTGAAAACAAATCTGCTAATTATATTTAATGTTAAGAAAAAAGGACTAGACAAATCTAACGTTATCCAGAGACGCAGCAAAAGTAGATAAAAGTTAAAGACAGAAAGAAATAATAAACTGTCAGGTGCTCACAGTGGTTTGGACATGGTGGTTTGAAAGTGCATCATCAGTGACCACAATTAGAAAAAAAAATGAAAATCCCAATACGGCCGTGCACGTATATATATTCACCTCAAGAGTGAAACAAGAGTGAGTGCGTGCATTGATCCCTCGCACTTGAAATAAAATCCATGGATCAATAATCCACAAGTTCATCACAGGCTAATCAAAGCAATCGCTGAGGCTAAATAATGCTCAGCAGTGCAGCCAATTACTTAGTGAATAATGTCTTCAGACCTTTGTTAAGTGCTTTTAGTTCCTAGGACTTACTGAGGCCCATTCAGCGTCTAATGTGTATTCAGCCACACGGGACGGCGCTGCAGGTCACTGTTACGGACATGATGTACAGCCTGGTGAGGTGGAAAACAAAGACCACAGCGAACTTCAGTCTTATTAGGAGAGACAGAATCCAACTTTTAAAGTCTGACTTCAGACGCTACACAAATGTGTGTGTAAGTTCTCAACAAAAACTACTTCAAATATTTAGAATTAAAACCCAAAAGAAGACAAATGCAGGTGTGAACAACCAAGAAAGTCTTCAGAGAACTGATGAAATGCTTAACTTAAAAAAAAAAGATCACAAGAAACTCTGGCAAGAACCAGGCTCAGCTTCTGGCAGCTGCTTCAGAATAGATGATAGTCCAGAACGATTTTGTTTTGGGAAGGGCCGCAGCCAAGAAATGACTTTTCTAGAAGTGAAACAGGATCAAAAGGCGGAGGATGAAGATCAACACAAAAGGGAATTTTGCAGCAGTGAATCAGCGTGTGAAATGTTTGGATCCAAACGTCGCCGCGTACAGAGGTGAACAAATACAGAAAGAGTTTAAAATTAGCCTGATACAAAGAACGGATTACTGACAAAAAAGTCGAGACTAAAGAGGAGTGTTCACACGGAGAAGTCAGTTTGTTGTACGTTCCTATTGGTTCACAAACTTCCCATCTGATTAAACAGCTCTAATTTATGTAACATATTTGGACATCATCACAGGAGTAACTCTATGTAAAACACGGTTAAACATTTCCATCACCTTGTCCCCGTCACTGACTCTGTCCTCATTAAAACTCTGCACCTAAACGGCCCACGTTGTTATTACCGCGCTTGAGCAAAGACGAAGGACACCGTCGTCACATGAACATCGTCCACTTTGTACCTTCTCCATTGGTTCATACTGTTTTAATTACATTTACTTCGTCTGTCAACCTCCGTCCACAAGTTGGACCTCAGGGATCGGACGGTGAAGACAAACGATGCAAATCAAATCAACAATTCAAAACAGCTGACTGGTAATAGATTGGACAGTGTGATGTACGAGAGCTGGGCTACAGTCAGAGCAGGATTCAATAAAGGTTATTGATTTTTAATTTGAGACATTTATTGATGCTCTGAACGGCTGAGTGGACGCAAACGCAGAGCATGAGCACGACATGGACGTGAAACCTGCAGCTGAGATAAACAACAAATTGGTCTATGTTCAAATAAAATGAATGGACTAAGTCACAAAATTAATTAGTAGTGTTATTGATGTTTTTTCTCATTGGTAGCTGAACAATTTGCATCAAATCTTAAAATGGCAATTTTGGTTTTTCTGTGTTCAATTTAGTCCAAAAAAAGTTTATGTTTCTGTTTCGTTTGGTTACTGTGAATGTCTGTTTTTTTACGACAATTTCAGTTTTCATCGTCTGAAACCACTTCATTCGTGTTACCTAAGAATTAACATCTTACTTGCTATAGATAACGTTGACCATCACTGATGTCTTCACCTCTTCTTCCTCTCATAGTCGATCCTCTCCAGGGTTTCATCTCATCCTCCACATCATTATCTCCTTGAATATATACAACCAGAAAGTCATCAAATTAAATAAGTATCTCTTCAGTAATCTTTTCAAACAGCTTGTATTTTTACACAGAATATTAGGGCCACATTGACAATGAAAAATAATTATTTAGTCTCCTAAATTTACAACTTTAATCTCTTAATCTTAAAAGTTTTCTCTGCTAAACCTACAACTTTTGTCTCATTAATTTATGACTTTTTTGTTAAAAAAACTGACCCATTCAAGGGCGAAATTCTGTCCAAAACATTTATTGTCAGTGTGCTTATCTGGCACACTTTAACGCACCGTCGGCTTTGTGGACTCCCCCTCTTCTCCCTCCGCCCCCCCCCTTCTCTGATTCATTAGCAGGACACACAGCCCTCTTGCCCTCTTTTACTGCCTCCATTAAATCCCCGCTCTCACCATTGTAACTCTCCGTGGATACTGGAGTGCATCACTTCATCATCCCAGCTAAGAGCCCGAGCTGTGTACTCAACATTTTTCACCCTGGACCAGACTGGCCCGGCCCAGTCCAGCTTGGCCCGGCCCGGCCCGCCCCGGCTCGGTTTGACTGTGGGAGACATAAATGACATGTAGATCAATCCATACAGAGTTTGTAAGGCAGTGATTCACACCAACGGAGACGGAGCGTCTCTGAGGGAGTTCCAAACAAATACTGAAGCGGCCTTTGAAGGAACTGAAAAGGATCGTGAAATCAAGCTTGATTAGAGACATTTCTACTTGTTTTTCTACTTAAACAGTAATAAATGAACCTGTGTATGTTAATATCTTTCAGTATAGCATTAGTTGTGCCTGATACATTTCGCAAAACATTTAGCTCAGTTATATAAAATGTTATATGATACAAAAACATATAGCAGTGAGTTCATGCTTTTTCTCTCCATTAATTTTTAGTGGTCCTTGGTTGCAAAAACGTCCAGCAGGGGGAGACAGGGAAGCTGTGTGTTGTTGTTTATGAACAGCAGTGGGAAAATTTCTGGATATCCTGCCCCTACATGTATGTAAAATGGACGTCAAGTCTGAATGATTCAAAGTATTATGTATGTAAAATGGACGTCAAGTCTGACCGTCACTATAAATGATTCAAAGTAGAGTTGTCCATTTGTATTCTTGGCTGTTTTAACCTCTGAGTCTTGTGCTCTTATAGCAGTAACCTCACGCGTCCTGTCCAAACAGCTCTTAAAGCGAATCCATCAAATGCTCCAGGTCCCAGTGGAGTTGATGTTGATGCTGATGCTGCTGCTGCTGCAAGAGGTGAACTGAGCAGAGCACAGAGGTCAGATTCCGTAAAAGGCCCGGACAGAGCTCCCTGTGAGAGGGACACCAGGATCCACTTGGGATATTAGATTATCTGCTCATCTGTGCATGCATCAGGGCCGAGGCTTTCCTGGGAATGGTTTTAATGGTGCAGTTTAGAGTGGGCGTGGCCACAGAGGGTGAATTGGAATGTCCTTCCATGTCACAGTGTCCAAGGTGAAGCTGAGGTGAAGTCGTTCTGAGCTGGTCATCTATTTGTTTTTCGCCACACCTGCATAAATCTGAAAGTAAATCCTCTGTGTTTGTAAATGTTCATTACATTAAGACATTAGACTTTATCATCCACACTCTGCTGAGCTTTCTTTCAGTGGATGTTTTTACCTTCATCATTATCATCATCATCATCTAGAAGTGTACGTTCTGTTTAATTCTTTAACCAAAGACTACAAGGCTATGTTTGATTAAACAGTTTTAAACTAAGACTTTGTTTTAGCTAAAGCTGGAGCTCTTTGTGAAAACGAAAGAAAAACCTTTGCTAGACAATTATATATAATTATATATTTTGGCATTCACAGATACTTTTATTCACAGTTTTGTTATCCTATATAGACTTGTCAAAGTCTGACTGTTCTGGACATGTAATACAGTACCAATGTGGTACTGGTCCATTTCCAGTTGCCTGAAAATATGCGTGAAATTAATACAATTCTTAATTCATCTCATATGACAAAGACTGTGATCTGTTAATTGACGTGTAAATTTGTGTTTTGTTCTGTATTTTTGCTAAACACAAAGTCAGACAGGTGATAAATGGCTACTGTTATAAAGTAAAGGGTTGTTTGTCCAGGACAAACAGGCAACATTTAGCTGAGTAACAAATGGATATGGACATAAACAAAAACAACACTGTGGTGAAATAAACATTTAAGTGCGAAAAACTGGAGTCCAATTATCAACAGAGGGCTTTTTGTTTTTGTAAGTGCGAAAAACTGGAGTCCAATTATGAACAGAGGGCTTTTTGGGGTTTTTTTCTTCTTACCTTCAGTTTGAATCGCCCAAAAGCAGCTGTTGGCTGAAGTTAAAAGATCAGACTGGACTCTGGGGTGAAGCTGTAGCATGACTGCGGTCAAAGAACATCACACAGATTAGGATAAATATCAAAGCTCCTGCTCCCAGACTGGGATCTATTCACAAGGCGTCAGTGGTAGTCCTTGTTTCAGACTTAGCAGTACGTACACGTGACGACAGAATTGAAAGTTCAACACTCAGATTTGCAGCTAAATGAGGGAGTGAGAGCAGCTGTGGGAGCGGTCCAGGTGCTACACCACCTTCGGCTCATTCATCACTGTGTGTGGTGACCTTTTTCCTCCTGTGTACGCTTGAACAATAACTGCCTTTTCAGCCCCCGGGGCCTTGAGTTCTGCACTGTTGAGGTTCATACCTGCAAGTAAATGTCAAGAAGATTTCAAGGAATATTTTTTTCTCTCAATGACAATTTAAAATGTGAGAGAAAAGCTACAAAATGGAACGTGTCCAGGGCAGCTCTGTGCTTCCCCCGCAGTGACTTTTGTTTAATATTAATGTCCTAGGCTGCAGAAGAATCCCCTCCTGACAATACGGCAGACTGAGAGACATGACTGTGGCCCGTGTGCACACAGGCGACTCTGTTTGAATAAGCATTAAGGACAAGGAGCAGCAGCAGCGGCAGAAGCAGCAGCGGTCACAGCTTTTACCTTTGTAAATAAACGTGAGCTTCAAGAAACAGCTGTAGAGTCATTTCTGGATCAGTCAGATTTTTGTTTCACTATTACCAGGTGACCTTTACAGGTGATTGGCATTTTGGTTTCTACACATTAGGAACAAACTAATAACAGGTCTCCATATCCTGTACATATAGACCAAGGTGAGAGTTGACCTTTAACTTCCTCACCCAGGTAAATGGAAACGTGGGCTAAAATCTGACCCCCACAAAACAGATCAGGGTCACAGTCTCCAAAATTAATAAGTAGCAATAAAAGTGGGAAATCTATGGATTGTTAGAAATGTTGGTTCACATGTGGCTGTAGTATGGATTGGATTGGATTTGTTTCCGAGAAGACAGAGAATTAGACGGTCATTCATTCACAGTAATTCTCAACATAATTAAACATTTTTAGACTGGTTTCATGAAGAACCTTAGAGAATATTTGGACTGTGAGAGGAAATCAGATGAAACCCAGAAACACCTGGGGTGAACATGGAAACTCTGTAGAGTGATCATTTTTGCTATAACTCAAAAACACCCCCCACTCCACCACAGTGTGACCCCTGCCCCTCGTACTTCCCTGGTGATGCCGTGCGATGTGAAAACATATGAAGTGTCGTGATCTTGTCCCATCAGCTGCCAGCAGATCAGTCAGTGCCACACCGTCACGTCAGTGAGTCAGACAGATGGCAGGGAGCTGGGAGAATGGTGAGGCAGCAAGAAAAACACACACACACACACACACACAGAGGTCATTAATTATTAAAGAGGTACCGGCAAAGTGATGGCATATTGAAATCTTCTTCACTGGACTGAGCCCACGCATCAAGTCAGGAGTCTGAGGCAAAGATGTGGAGCACATCGCGTCTACTGCAGTGTGTCACCAACCTTGAGCCACGGCACATATTTCACGTTAGACAACTTCCACGGCACAGCACCAGACAAAGAATTCTCAAAAAGTAAATGTAACGAAATATAATGATCGACAATTTATTTGCTCAGAGTGAAATCTGAGCCTGGAAGACAGGAAGTGGAGGATTAAACACTGTCACAGAGACAAACAGACAAATTATTTGCAGTAAATAAATAATAGCTTTCAGAGCAAATAAGAAAAAAATCGGAAAAATGCACAAGGTACACCTGAGGGGCCGCAGCACAGAGTTTGGGAATCCCTGGTCAAAGGTGTTGTGTTTTTGTTTTTGCCAGTAATTTTACACTTTGTAAAATGCTAACTTTGGAATATTTACGGTATAATCTGTGGACGAAATGTAAGAGCAGCAGCAGTAATGATACATTTTCATTTAACGGCAGCCACCGTTCATTTTTTATACTTTTGTTTGGACTTTAATGCAGCAGCGCTCAGAGCACCGCTCCCTTAACACCTTGCCTTATTTTGTTATTGCAGTGTCTCAGAATCATTCCTGCCTCGTAAACACCCTGAAGAGGAAAGGTGAATTGTTTGGGTTTCTTTTTTCACAGAACTGGAAAAAAATAACATAACTTTCATATCTTTGCCTGCAGATGTATAATCAAGTGCAGCTCTTTGTACAATCAATGCTCGTCTTCGCCACTGACTGGGTTAAATGGTACCTGATGTAATTAAAAAATATAGAAAGTGCAGAAAAGGCAATACGCTGATCTCCATCAGGACAAACACCTGGAGCCTGGTGATGGAAACACAACTATCAACAGAAAGAGGGAGAACAGGCTTATCTGACCATACATCAGCTGAGCTGCTGGATCTGCATGAAAACCTGGACTCTTTGTACCCACGACCATGTCCTGCCAACTTCTAACAGTTTTTAAGTCAATTTCAGCCCCGGAGATAAGGAAACCCATCTGAGCTTTACATTGATTTCTTTTTAAAAACAAATTTTTCTGATAACATTTTTTCCTGAGATGTAAATGTTAGTTGTTGGGGATGAGGCTCCTGGTTCTGGTGGGACGGCAGCTCATCCAACCTCAGATGATAAAATGAGGCAGGAAATCAATGATTTCAGAGAAAAGAAAAGAAAAGAGAGAGAGAGAGAGAGACAGAGAGAGAGATATTTTTCTTTGCTGGTACTTAACATTGGGGGATTGGGATTATTTAGACATCAATAATCACACTATAATCCTAATTCTCAAATGGATAATGTTTGGATTTGTATAATAGCATTCCAGTATAAATAATCTGTTTTAATTAAAATCCTATTATCTTTTTTTGATTTTTTTTTTTTTTGCTTTGTGTTGCACGTACTTCTCTATACGAGTTTCAGTCTTCATTTTCGGAGGATAGAAACATACAATTTTATATTTTATAATAGTACTTCTCACATTTTAAAGACAAGGGATAAAATGAGTACTTTGGTATTTTCCAACTCTCTGACAAACAGGAAAAGAATATTTTCCAGCCAGAAAAAAAAGCTGTCGTTTAAACTCATATCAATGCTATCGTTCAGTTTCTCAAAGCCCACAGAAGAAGCCTATGGACCGTGGCCCAATTTTGGATCACAGCCCAGAATTTGAGAAACGTTGATTAGATTATAGTGATTCCACAAAGAGTTCTACTTGTCTCTAAAGCAGAGTCCAATTAGCATCATGTTCAGGCTGACGACTGTTATTGGAGTTTATATTTCTATCAAAGCTAAAACACACAATAATCTCCAATAACAAGCTCGACCAATCCCCAACTTGTTATTGCAGGAGTAAAACAAAGCATGCAGAGCAAACACTGCCATCTGTGTGTATATTAATCTCTAATAACCCACTTTGTTAGATCTTGGCCCACAGGACCGGGTTTACAAAAGATTGGGATTATTCTATAATAAAACAGGGAATATTAAAACCAGCCTTTTCTGAGTTTTTCACATTTAGTATCAGTTTGTTTTGACTTTTACTGCAGATACTTCACAATGCTGATCAAACAGGGAGGGATAGTGACACTAACGCTGCCAAATGTCCTTTTTAAATATACATACTCTGTGTAGAGAGTTTTGATTAAAAATGCATGAAACCATCCAGCTGCTAAAACGGTTACTGTTTTCAAAAAGATACATTTTCGCAGTAATGTCTCAACATATCACCCATCACCAAGCTCTGATGGTAACGTGATCATCTACAGTATGCCATGCTTCAACATTCATTTTCATCTAAATAGGATCACTGTCCTCGGCTAATGCTCGCACTGTATTTTTCAATCACACAACATGTGGTACTCCAGGTCCAACCCGTGTATGTGGGACATGGACTACGTCTCTGCAAATGTTATGCGCCTTGACAAATGAGAGACATGTTTCTCCTTACAGTCGTAAAGTTTTATTTCAGGTCCACTTCAAAACGCCTTCAGAATCCACTCAGCATCTGAACCTGACTGCCAACTGTACGACAACATCCAGGTCAAAGTGCCACAGTATCAAGACTTTGGCACGACTTTTGTTCTTTCATAACCGATGTCATTATTATTGCAGAACTCTACACAACTATTTTAATCACTCTGTAACTAAATGCATTTCCTTTGGTGCATGCAGACACCGAGCTGTCGGTCCACTAAGAGATCTACAAAACCATGTTAAACCTCCAACCATTCCTGTCATTGCAGAAATTATTTGCAAATCTCTCAGTCTGAAGTGTTAGCCAGCAGACCAATCGATACGGACAATACTTTTAAAAACATTAACATTATGTTCTCCTACATGCGTCATTGCAGTTTTTCTCAAGCAGAAAATAGGTTTTAAAACCTCTTACATTTTAAATGATCCCCTTAAGGTTCCCCTTGTTTTGTTTTTTTTTCTCACAAGCACCTTTGTGAAAAAAAAAAAATAGAATAGAAAACGTGACCACGGCGGATCGCAGTCATATAGCAGGAGGAAGACAGTGACAGAAGACAGAGTCGGTGAAGGAGCGCTCTTCCCTCAGAGGCAAAGTGACATGTAGTCATCAAACAGAGCATCACTGGGAGAAACAGAGTGATTTCATTCCCCCGTCCCGTTTTCAGATGTTTCATTATCATACACCTCTATATCCTGGAGACTGGAGGCATCTGTTTCATCTCCTGCACTGCTCTCACTGGTCCTGAAGGTGATATTACCAATGAAGGGAATCACGCCATCTGTAAACAGGTCTCTGATGTTGTAGTAAGGAAGCTCCGGGTCTTTTCTTTCAGGCTTTTCAATACACTGTTCTTCCATGGCTTTGTTTCTTTGATAGTACTTTGAAAACTTGTTAAAAATGATGGTGATGGGTAGAGCCACCACCAACAGACCACAGATGATGCTCAAGGTGGCCACTATCTTCCCTGCAAACGTCACTGGGCAGATGTCACCATAACCCACGGTGGTCAGGGTGATGGTGGCCCACCACCAGCCTGAAGGGATGGTCCCCAAATCAGTCTGCGGCTCATCCCTCTCTGCAAAGTAGATCAGAGCAGAGAAGATGGAGATCCCCACTGAGAGGAAGAGGAGAAGGAGGCCCACCTCGTTGTAGCTGTGGCGTACAGTTGCACCCAATGCTCGCAAACCGATGGAGTGACGAGCCAGTTTGAGGATCCGAAAGATCCGCATGAGGCGCAACACCTGCACCACTTTTCCAACGTTTTCGATGTCCTCGTTTTCCTCTGCACTGTCCTCGTCGGCCGTCTCCAGGGCTAGAGTGGCATAAAAGGGCAAAATGGAAGCAAAATCAATGATATTTAGGGGATTTCCCAGGAACTTCCTGCGGGACGGAGCAACAATCAGCCTGATGACGAACTCTGCAGAGAAGAAGGCAATGCAGATCTCCTCCAGAATGGCAAGGACGGGGTCTTCGATGGGCTTATCGTTATCATCCACCTGCTGGAACTCGGGCATGCTGTGGACGCACATGGCAACAATGGAGGTCAAGACCACGCTGAGGGAGGTCACGGCAATGACTTTGGAGGACCTGGAATGTCCTGGATCCTCCAGCCGCAGCCAAATGTAGCTCCTCAGATCTCCACACCAGGCACCTTTGAACTTAGCAAGATCTTTGTCCAGAGCTGAGAGCTCCTCCATAGAGGAGTCAAAGCTCATGTGTTGCTGATCATCGCTCCTGACATCCCACTCCCTGTCCTCTATGTACTCCTTCCTCTCGTGGTACCAGTTGCTACAGCAGGGGCTCAGGTGCAGCTCCTGGATGCCCCAGTACTCGATCTCCTGGTGGAAGGAGAAGACGCACAGCTCCTCCATCATGTGGATGCGTCCGGTGTGGTAAAAGTTGAGGATGCAAAGGAAAACCCGTGGGTTCCTGTCAAAGTAGTACTCCTTCTCATTTGGGCTGTAGTCATCGCACAGCTCTAGAATCGCCGCCTCACTTTGACAGCAGAGGAGTCGTCCTAGACGTGTGTGAGGGAAACGTAGCAAAGTGTCCGGGTCCACGTCGTGACGTACTCCTCCAACGTTGATGTGGACCTGGCCCTCCTGTTTCCCACGTTGGTGGAGGATCTGCCCATACCCCATGATCCTGACGACACAAACAGAGACGTTACAACAAAGCTTGTGCAATTGGGGTCTTGAGCGTCACATTCTAATATGGACAAACAAATGGCCATTAAGCCATATTTGATGCCACTGTCTGCAGAACACATTAGTCGTCCAAAGAGAAACGAAGAAAATCAATACGGCACACACAGGAAATGGCTTGGGCTGGAGTGTGAGTGAAGAGGCGTGAGGTAGCGTCACTATCACTGGAGCGCTCAAAGAACTAGATTATCACTGCAAAAATCTAATTACAAAGTGGACAGGACCAAATCATGGGAAATGGGAGGCAACAAGTTGAAACTCCCTCTGCCTGTTTACTTCCAAACCTTGTCTCAATTAGAGTTTATTTTTTATTTTTTATATCCATGCCCTGTTTTTCTCACTGGATAAGCTCATACACATGTCATCGCATTAGTTTTAAAAACAACAAAAAGTGATCACAAAAACAGAGGAGCTGCAGCCTACCTGCACCTGGAGCCTTTCTTTCCATGAAAATAACTTTTATCCGGCTGCTGTAGTTCCTTCACATGCACGCAGCAGAAGAGCAGGGCAGCGGAGGGAGCGAGACAGAGAGGAGCTGCAGCTGCATGGGCAGGAGGAGAAGGAGGAGAAGGAGGAGGAGAGATGGAGGCGGGACAAGAGCAAGGGTTTGTTGCCTTTTACAGGGAACAGGGAGGAGCCAGAGGATTGAAGGAGGCTGTACCCAAGCATGAAAACACAACAGTTAACATCATCTGACTGGTTTACTCTGTGGTTAGAAATAAAAAAGAAAGAAAGCTTATTATGAGAGAAAATGCCATAATCACAACAATCAAAGTCAACATAATGACATATAAATTTATGGCATGATGTAAAATTCATAATTAGGAGAAATAAAAAAAAGACTAATAATAAATAACAGTATTAGGCATAGTCATAAATATGAGATCAATAAACCATATTCCAATATATGGGATGGAAAGTAAAAAATGACAAATCAATAATTATAAGACTAATGATAAATAGAAGATTATTATTATAGTTATTATAAGTATAATAAGCATAATATATGTATTATTATGAGTTAAAATATAACATATATAATATGACATATATTAATACAGATTTAAATATTTATATACAAGTCAATGAAATCAAAATTAGGGATTGAAAAGTTAAAAAAAAAAGTAGAAATTATGTAAAATTGTAAAATTATGAGTGTGGCACCAAAAATCATAATTATAATAGAAAAAGTCAACATCAGGAAATTTTAATTTATGTCACAAAATGGGTCACAGTGTGGCCCTCAGGTGGCTGCAGAACAGATGACATGACACCCGTCAACACACATGCAGGTAATTGTAATTAGGCTGCGATTGAATCAACCTGTTTGTAGTAGCTTGAACTAACTCCTCTTAGGCTGGAGAATCTCTCCACAGCCCAGATCGTGTTGTCACTCACACAAACACGCAGCATCTGTCGGGCTTCTCACCTCCTACCTGTGTGTTTGATGGCTGTGTTACTAGTATCAGGGTTTGTAGAGGTTTTTTTTTTACCCCCCCACTTCCCTTTTCTTATTTCTGCTGCAGTGTCCTATTTGGTCCTCTTACAAACATGGTTCTGTTGGTTCTGTTCACCCCCCCACTTCCCTTTTCTTATTTCTGCTGCAGTGTCCTATTTGGTCCTCTTACAAACATGGTTGGTTCTGTTGTCTTACAGGTGGCTCACTGTCCTGATAGCAGCCACTTTTGCTCAAAATAGTCCACAAGCAAGTACGTTTTCAAGACACATAAATGCTTTGGTGTATTTTGTCTAATTTTGTGTTCTAATTTTGTTTTTGTCTAAAATCACAGATGTCACCTTTGTTTGTCTGGGCAATGTTGTCCGTGTGGATGTAGATGTACCTGGAGGCATAGTTACTGAAATTGCGCCTGGAAAATGTACATTTATTTTACATGCACACACACACAAGTTCTCTGTCTTTTTTTTGTACTACCACATTACTTTAATCTGGTTAAAAACAATTTTCTTCCAGATGATCCTGCCTTCCTTCCCATGCCAGAATTTGCTGCTCAGTGTGGCTTCAGATTTCGGACAGATCCTCAGGGGAAAAACAAATTTTATGGCCCCATTCAACACTGCTTTGTCGAAAATGAGGTGATAAAACGGAATTTTTGTTTCAGTATTTAACTTTTGCCATGATTAGCTTAACTGAAATCCTGAGATATGAAATTTAATTTTTAAATCCATATGTCTATTTGCCCAGAAGTCCACATTATATATTTGTTTTCCTACTTCCAGATTCCAATGTTTTTTTTCTTTCCTTCAGATTTGTTCTCAATTCTGAATTTGCTAGAGATCAGACTTAACTTTTTTTTTTCTTAATCACTGAATTTGTAATTTCTGCTGTAACTTGGATTTTTTTTATTTTAACTGCTAAACTTCCTAACCACAACTTTATTTATTTTTTTATTCTAATGGGTAAATCTTTGCTTCAATAAATGAGCTGTTTGCATTTCATTTTTGTTTTTTCCTGCAGGAAGATGCATACTTTACAGAAGTGAAGGTTAAAGTGTACTGGAATGAGTTTGGTGAGGTGGCATTCTACGGTAATGGTACCTGCTCCTACCCTAAATGGAGCTCCAGAGAAATCATCTGTGACCCTGGCTTTATGGAGGCAAGTGACTGGAGCAGGGTCATCTAATCTATAAGACAGTTTTATGTTCCATGCTGACATCAAGGCGACTACATTAATTGTATCTGACTTGACCTTTGAATTTTTTGCAGGTGTCTGTGAAAAGAGCAGCTCCGAACGATTACGATCTTCCCGCGCAGCAACTTACAAAGTTTGGCGATCCCCGCCGAGCAGCTGAGGTCAGTTTGGGTTTAACCAGTGCAGTTGTAATCTGAAAACATCTAAATCTCAATTTTTTAATGTATTATCAATTTGGAATTCTCCACAAAAGCCCCTGGGTCCTGAATTCCACATGGTCTCCATGGTGTTCTACACCCCTGAGGAGACGATTATGAAGGTGGCAGAGGCCCAGGAAAGAGGTTACAGGATTGGGAACATTGGGTCGAGGCTTGTTATAAGGTCCTCGCAGACTGCACCTGAAACCTACAGCAAGGACGTGAGTGGAATGTCTTTTAGAGTTGATCTGAATCACGTCTGGTATTACACCTGGTATTGCACTGGGGGGAGGACCACACTTAAATTACTCCAAGATCACCTACTCCCTGCTTACACGCTGACTGTGATTTGGATCACAGGAAAGTATCCAACCATGTTCTTGCACCTATGGACCACTGAAAACTAAATCTCTAAAATCTGGGACCATCCATACTTTTATCATCCCACTGCTTGAAATGGTTCATTTAAATGTGTTTACCCATAATTCCAATGTGCAGGTTGCAGGAGTGTCCATGAATGTGCTTGAAACCACCACCGTCTTTGAAAAGAAATGGTTGGCAACTCGTGTCAATGCAGCTGCTGCTTGTCCAAAACCAGAAGGTAAAGTCTGTGGAAACAAAAAAAACAGTCATTCAGGTCAGTTAGTAAGATGCTAATGAACTGTTAAAAATAAAAGGTGAAAATAACATTTCTCAAACCCACTTTGTTACATCTAGTGGGAATCATCATCATAGCATTAAAAACTCGTGGGGAAAGTTTAGCACTGGGCCCAAAATCTCAGTGACCTGTGGGGAGAAAAAAAAAAAA